ATTACGACCGCCATCTGATAAAAAAATGAAATATGCTCCAAAGACATGTAACAACAATGTACTTTACCAAATTGCACCTGCGCCAATCTCTAATCCTGAGCAAAGCGGTTAAAAAAATTATTTTATATTCAAATAATCACATAAGACATGACAGCGATAATTGTGTTTTCCCTGAAAATTACAATCCTAATTCATTGTAAACCTAGCTTTTAAAGCTGAATTATTATTATTATTTTTACCTACCTTTGCAGAGATAGTCAATAATAATTATAAACTCTTGTTAGACAATTTTGTTAAACCATAATCATAGTAGTTTTTTCTGTTGTTTCTATGTCAACCTGTAAAAATGAATCACAACAATAGGCATATAAATAAATTTTTAAATCAGCAAAAATTGATTCATATTTTTAATGATTTTTACCTACTAATCGTGTGTATATATTTTTGTGCGATGTTAAGAGGAAGAAAATGTTTCCCATTAACGATTTATATCAAGATATATTTGAATATGTGATTATATGGAAAACTTTAAAATCAAACAAAATTAGCGCTGTCATGCCTTATGTGATGTTTTTAATATAAAATATTTTTTTTGAACCACTTTGCTCAGGATTAGGATTGGCACAGGTGCCATTCTGTAATGTACAATGTTTTTACAAGCTTTTGGGGTATATTTTATTTCATTATCAGATGGCAGCAAAAATTTGCAGTGGGCTCTTGCATTATTATAATTTGATTCTGTATGTGCCAGGGATACAAATCTGAGTTGCGCAATGTATAAACTGGAACATTGAGATCAAAAGTGCCGACGCAGAGTGAACGAACTGATTCTTTTAAACTGTGCTAATATCAATAATGCAACTTTAAAAAAATAAAATAAAAGTTTAAACAATCATAAAAAAATATATATAATTTTTTTACGGAGACAAGCAAATAGTCGATTAAAAACCAATTACAATTACGTTCAAATCAATTCTCAAATTGATGTAATGACAAAGACAGTTGAGAAATAAAATTCAAGCCAAAATTTCAAATAATATACGCCGGATTTCAAACATTCTATTCGGAATATAGTTTTGATCATTTAAAGCCAAACGGAAGACGAAAGCTGTACCTATTCAAGAGTACCTGTAGTTAAAATAATGGCAATATTGACAAATCACTTTTCACTCTATATGAATTGGTGACTACAACGTATTTTAAATTTTCTTGTTTTATTTCATGAAGCTGTAGTCATTTGGTATAATTTTCTTAACTGTTCAAAAAAAATTAGAATTAGAAATTTAATATGATCTATTTAAAAAAATATTAATGACATCATAGTTTCGTAAAATATATAATACACTGCATAAATAGTTTAACCATTAACTACCATGGTGAAAATTTGTAACTTTTACACCATGGCAGGGTCAAATTTGACCACACATTTTTTTGCCCTTATTGTTTTTCTTTTTTTATATTTGACCTGGAAAACGCTTAGGCAACTCCTGCAACTGCCTTAAAGGCAAAAAAAAAAACAAAAAAATACATAGTTTATGCGAAAATTTTAATACGTAAAAAACTAACATTAAATTAACTTAACAATAATCTTTATAATTTTACAAAAAATATATATATATATTTATAGTCGCTTATGAAGGTTGCCTAGTAGTTTTGGTTCTTTGTGGCTCCTCCCTACAACAATAAAAATACATGTTGATTTTTTGTTTAAAAAATTACAAAAATGTTTTAGATCTCATCTGTCAATGCACATTTGAGCTCTAAAGGGGGACTTGGAGATCCGGGGCTTCATGGTTCCTCCCTATAACAATAAAAACACATTTAGTTTTTCGTTTCAAAAATAACACACGTCTATGTCACTTCCATAATCTTCAATATCTATTTCTTGTTTAGAGTCGGTTTGGTGGCTGCTATGTTCACTTTCTTGGTTAGAAAATTCTTCATAATTATCTAATCCGTAGTTCATAATTGGCATAATCCTTTGAGCGTCTTTTTCAAGCTCTTGTTGTATTAAAGGCTTTTTATCACGATAACAACTGGTCATTTTTCACTGTTAGCGCAACTCAATTTTGTAACACTTAAAACATGAGCGGGTCAAATTTGACCCTATATGCCGATAACTCCTCGGAGACTAAATCTAAACTAAAAGCGTTCCAGCGCCTCGATAGACCAGCAACCGATTAAGGATTAGATAGAGGGGAGCGTACTGTTTTCAATTCTTTACATGCAAAAATTACCGTGCAAAATGTGTAGGGTCAAATTTGACCCCGCCATGGTACTTAAGGGTTAAATGGCATAAATGAAGCTGTAAAGTCATTTGGTATAATTTTCCTAAAAACTGTTCGAGAAAAATTTGAATTATTCTAAATAGGATTTGCATTTAAAGAGACTTATTTTATTATTATAAAATATCAATTGTTCCATTTAAAAAAAATATTATTGACGTCATAGTTTCGTGAAATAGATAACGCACTGCATAAATGGTTTTAAAATAACAATTTACTTACGATTCAAACAATAGCTGGTAGTAAGCAAGACTCTTATATCTAAGGGGGTTGCGAAATAGTCTTTCTTCCATCTTGGACGCTATTTTTACTCGAAATAGTAGTCGCCAACAATTTCACCTTGTGAAAAATATATAAGTACTTTTTTATTAATATTTTAATTGTGTTCAACATAAAATATTTAAATTTAATCCTTATTTTTGATTTTACGTATTGTAGATGGAATACATCGTATGTCGCAACTTTCTAAATATACCACCAACAAGTTCTTTTGTTTTGAATGCCTAAATCAGTATTAAGCTGCCTAAAGACCGTGTCAACGAATGTCAACAAAGGAAGTTCGTTGGCGCGCCATAGACGGTTTAGCGAATACCAACGAGGGTTCGCTGGCGTTGGCCGACTAGCGGAATCGTAGCGGTAACATAAAAGGAGTGGGCGACTCGAACGGATGAAATGTGGACAGATGTCCATACGAGTGTCATACTATAATGAACATTTAATCCGGATACATGCCCAAACGAACGTTTGATTGAGCAACAAATGCATGTATATTGTATATTAACGACGCCCAAATTTGATTTATTTAAAAACATTAGAAAAGTAACGAATATTTTGACAATTTTCAATTTTTTTTTTATGTTCAGAAAAAGTTAATTAATTTTTTTAGAAAAAGGTTTCAACGTAACACAGATTTAACTTAACACGTACATAGGTATTTTTTTTTTCTTTTACAATTCATTGACAAATGTGAATACAAGAGACATTGTGAACATCAGACAAATCTAAATATAAAACTTATAAAAACTATAATAAAATATAAAAAATAATTATACCGAGAGCTGAATCTACATGACTTCTGATTTAAAAAGTTAACGCCTTATCCACAAACCACATTCGCTAGATATTTGTTTGCTAGACGATATAATAACTATGCGAAAGCCAAAGTAGAACGAGTTTAGTGGTTTGTGCAACAAGAGTTGATATGTACAATCCACTAGAAGTATACAGTATATTTTTTCTACGACCTACTAACGAAAATCTACAAATTTAAAAAACTATTTTAGGTTTTTAAGACAAAATAACTAATTTTAAAATAATTTATGACTTCAACTAATTTATAAAATAAAATAAACATAAAAAAAAAGAGATTTAATTTAATTAGTCCCCAGCTGAGATTTAAACCCAAACCTGCTCGCGTCGAAGACAAACGCCGTGTCCTCACCTCCATCGCCACACTTACCAGTTTAGTTTTAATAATTTTAATTAAATTATTTTTATATAGGTAGTTCCATTAAAATTTAGGTTTTATTTGTAAATGTAGACAAATTAAAAATAAATGCTATTATTTATCGTTTCTACACAAGAATAACTCATTTTTACGTATATTTAATCTTAACAACTAAAAAATATACTGACAATTAGTTTGGCAAAATTGTCACTCACATAAAATTTAAAAAAATAATAGTAGCCGAGTGGCCAAAATATAAACTGTGATTGGTGGATTTAATTTTTTTGCAGTGTTCATACTAGGTAAAATGGATATAAAATATATTCGTTAAGTTAAACGCAATGGCATTCTTTTTCGTTCTGTAGTCTTTGCGTAGATAAGCTAATACTCATGTGGGTGTAGAAAAAAATGTATTCATACTTATTTTTTACAGAATCTACAGAATGAATATGTAACTACATATCAGTCCATTAAACGAAGAAAACGTTATATCTATTCTATAATGTATATAATGTGTGTCGGATTGATGTCGTAGGTGTCTAAAGGCGTGTATTCACCAAAAAACGAGCAAGAGCGAGCATTTGTTCTTGTTTGCGTATGCTTGCTCGTGTTCGCTCGTCATATTGAAATCTCGTCCTACCAGAGCGAATATATTCAAGTTCTCAAGTTGATCCATTTATTTTCTGCGAGCATTTGAAAATGACTGACTCTGAGAAGTTGTTGTTAGCCAGTGCCGCTTTCGTTGTACTGAGTTTATTGAAAAAGAAAAAAAAGAAGAAACGATTTTGGCAAGCGACTATATTTAAAAACAGACGTATTTATTCTGGCAGTAGTCTATTACGTGATTTAAAAGTGGAACATGAGTACGGTATGTTCAAGAATTTTTGCAGAATGTGTCCTAAAGATTTTGAAGCTTTACTGAAACTTGTGGAACCAAAAATAATGAAGATTGATACAAATTACAGAATAGCTATTCCTACAGCAGAAAGACTCGCTGTAACCGTAAGATTCCTCGCGACGGGCGACTCATATAGCTCTCTCATGTATATTTTTTGAAAATATCCAAACAAGTTATATCCAAAATAATACCAGAAGTTTGTGAAGCCATCATAGAAGTTTTGCAGGAACATGTTAAGGTAAGTAGGTAAACAAAAGCACAAATAAAAAGTTTTTGCACGTCATCAATAACACCATACATCATTTTAAGGAGTTTACAGGTGGTGTCATTATTGCGTGCAAGCACTTTTGTTTGACAGTTTTCATATTATCTCACAAATTATCTTTATTGAACGCAACAAAGCTTAAAACTAATCATTACATTTTTATGAAATATTAATCTTTATAGTCAGTAAAAAATGATACAAGATTATTCTTCATAATATCTCTGTTTGAGTCAGTCAAACCAGTTTGTGGTATGTTCAGATTTTGTTCTCCAGTAGGCGAAGATGAGGCAGCGGGGGATAAGGCAGGGGACGGAGCAGTGCTGGAATAAAATCCTGTGCTGTTTGTTGTTGGAATTTGATTGTTAAAATTAGAAGTAGTGGAACCATGAGATGAATATGAGGCAGCGGGGGATAAGGCAGGGGACGGAGCAGTGCTGGAATAATATCCTGTGCTGTTTGTTGTCGGAAGTTGGATGTTGGAATTGTTGTTTGGCGCATAGAAACCCATGTCGGCATTATAGATAATAGTATTAATGTGATGCTCCACAATAGCTCGGGTGTATGAGTTGTAACTTCTTAGTTTAAAACCAATATATTCGCCATATACCGAACAGCCGTCTTTTGTTTGGGCTGAAATATTAGATTTTAAATCAGTCATCACTGCGTAAGCGTCAGTTACTCTAGGATCTTCATTAGGTTTTAGTTTTTTTTTTTGAATTCTTTTGGGAGAAACAAATTGTTTGCGCTTGGGAATAATTGCTTCATGATCCGCATGGTTTTCATTGCTAATCGTTTCATTCAAATCTCTATCCGAGCTCTCCTCCAAATCTTCATCTTGTGTCATTTCGATGGACTCATTTTCATTCTGAAAAAGTAAAGGAAAAATAAAAATTAGTACAATAAAACAAGCTGATACCTATTAATTTTGTTTTCTTTTGATATTTTATGACGATTAGACATTTATTTCTTTTTGAAAAAAAGATTTATACAGGGTGTCCCATAACTTATCCGCCATAGATCAGCAGGTAATTTTCCAGGTGATTTTAAGAAGCAAAGTTAATAAAAACGTATGCCCTAAAATCCATACATGATAAGCTAACCTCAACTTTTCTTCTTAAAATTACATCAGGAATCACCTGCTGCTCTATGGCGGATAAGTTATAGAACATTCTGTATAAAAAATGATTACTTTATATTGTCAACAAAACAAAAATTTTTTGCCAAAATTAAATTCACTAAATACAATTAACTCATATTGTTTTCAGGTGCCCCAAGGAGAACAGGAGTGGTTGAACATTGCAAAACAATTTAATGATTTATGGGATTTTCCCAATTGCGTGGGAGCAATAGATGGTAAGCACGTAGTGCTTCAAGCTCCTATAAATACAGGAAGTGAATTCTTCAATTATAAGTCCACATTTAGTATTGTTCTAATGGCTGTTGTTGACGCAGACTATTGTTTCACTTTCGCTGATGTTGGATGTCAGGGGAGAATATCAGATGGTGGTGTAATAAAAAATACATCGTTTTACAAGAAGCTGCAAGAGGATGAATTGCATTTGCCTTCCGATAACGCTTTACCAAACACAAACAAAGTATTACCGTACGTTTTCGTACCTGATGATGCGTTCCCATTGGAAAAACATATTATAAAACCTTACCCAGGTTCACACGAAAAAGATTCTATTGAACGCATTTTTAATTATAGATTGTCGAGAGCTAGAATAATAGTGGAAATGCGTTCGGTATTCTTTCTGTTGTCTTTAGGGTATTGAGAAAACCTATGCTACTGGAGCCACTTAAATCAGCAAAAGTTGTTTTGGCATGCATTTATTTGCATAATTATCTACGAAGGAGTACATCATCCCAAAACATATATACAAGACAGGGCACCTTTGATCAAGAGATTGATGGAGAAATTGTAGAAGGCAGTTGGAGGCAAGAAAGAGAAGATAACACTTCATCACTTCTTCCTATTAAAAAAATTCCACGTAAATCTGCAAGTGTTTTTAAAGATAACAGAAAACAATTTGCAGAATATTTTAAAACTGTCGGAAAAGTGCCATGGCAAGATTTATATTTGTAGATAAGTTAAAACTTTATATAAAGTGTAAATATTGGAAAAATCTTAAAATAAAATCACTTGTTCAAGCGTTTTTTCGAAAATCCTACAATCCTACCTTTTTTTAAATAAAAAGTATTGCAATATTTAAGGGTCGGTTATTGCACCCCCTTGAAATTTGAGCTTTGAAAACATCTCTTCTTGTCGAACCTCTACAGCCTAAAATCAACTGGTATGCCAAAATTCAGCTTTTACGTCAAGCGGTTTGAGCAAAATCATGTAGTGAATAATCCGATTTTTTCAAACGCCCTGTATAAATGTTAAAATTATCTTACAATACGAAAAAATAATAAAATGAAATACACGTGTTCAAGCGTTTTTCCAAAAACAACTAAACGTTTTCTAAATAAAAAATATTCTAATATTTATTATTTTACTTACGTTTCCTTCTGTATCCTGTGTTTCTACTGGTTGATTCTTGTCTTTCAAAAATAATAGACTTTTGAAAGCAAACCATTTGGTATCATAAACCTCTTCGGCACCCATCCCCGAAATGGTTTTTAGTTTCTGCCTCTCCCTTCTAAAGGACGCAAGTAGGGACTGCATTTTCTTCTTAATTTCTGCAATATCAGTATTCAACATATCGGCTAATTCTCTCCAAGCATCTTCTTTTTTATTTTTAATTTTGTAATAGGAGTCCAAAGAATTCCACAAAACCGGCCGAATTCGATAGGCGTTTATTAGTTGCAACACACTATCATTAGACCATTCCATTTTGAATACCAGCTATAATAATTATTATTGAAAAGGTAAATAGGTCTACACGGTCGGCAACGTATGCATGCAGCGCAAGCGATCGAAGTACGAGCACTAAAAAAATCTCGTCCACACCGAACAAGCATGAACAAGTATTTTCTTTGATGTACCGACTTCCTCTCGATCTTTTTTGAGCGCGAACAAGAAAACGTTTGTTCGCTCGCTATCCGGTACACACTAGGTGATTATTGATGCAGAATGTTCGCTCGCTCTTGTTCGCTCTTGCTCGCTTTTTTGGTGAATACGCGCCTTAACGCGCTCGTATTCATTTGCGAGCAATTTCGTGGTTCAGAGACGGCTTTAAATCCTACAGAAGACCGTGTAAATTTATTTGCATGGTTCTCTATACGATTTGATGGATGCCGTATTAGCAGAAATTTCTGTTGATATGATATCCAGATCATAAAAATAGCCATGCGTTATCGTTGCGAAGATCGTGTAAGTCAATCATCTTTAGGTCGCCCCGGAGCGCCATGGCAAATAATAATAATAACTGTCCCTGCCCCGGACAAGCACAGCTTTTGGGCTTAAAATTTATTCGTAAAGGGGTGAATTATGAAGAGTATTATTATTATTAAATCCACCAAACGTTTAGTAGCCCGCCAACTAAATATTCTACACCCACACGAATATTATACATATATTCTAAGCACAGAGTACATAACTTAAAGTAGGCCATTACATTCTACTAAATGAATATAATATTTAATATTTATTCCAGAAAGATCGGACTACTATTATTTTTAAAATTTAAATGAGTGATATTTTGGCCAAATTAATTGTTACTATATTTTTTTAATTTAGTAATTGAGAATAAATACAATTTAAAATGTGTTTTTGTGAAGAATCGATAAAAAAATAATAGCATTCCATAAGATATTTACAAATAAATCATAAATTTTATTGACACTAAACCAATCTAATTGTCAGTATTAAAAAAAAAGTTCTTTGTCTCGTTATTGCAAAGATAGAATAGTGAGTTTTCAAGCAGAAGGTCCGGGGTTAAAATCCAGGATGAGGACTAATTAAAATATTTTTAAAATACTTATTTTATCTCAACGTTTAAATTAATTTTAAAATTTTGTAGGTTTTTGTTTGTTGGTCGTAGAAAAAATTTACTACATAATTGAGTTCCTACAGCGTCGTGCTCAAACTTTGTCTTTATATACGTTCTTTTTACACAAATTACTGTTTTTTTTTAGTTGTTTTAAATTAGTGACAATTTTGTCAAATTAATTATCTTATTCTTTTTATTAGGATAAATATAATTAAAAATGAGTGATTCTTACAACGAATCGATAAATAATAACAATCTATTAGATATTCATCGTTAATAGTTAAAGAAACCGAAAATTTTTGGTAAAATTATAACAAAATGACCTAAACCAATTATTTAAGTGGAAATGTTAAAGATAAATAAATGATAAGTTATCGCGAAAGTTTAACCTTCCGGCAGTCGCGCCTACAAAGTTACGTGAATAGGCGCACATGTGTCTCATAGATACACTACCATATTTTTGTATAAAATTAATTTAAACATTAATCCCAGTAGATTTCTCAACTCTTCACAATTATTTTCGTTATTTAGATCGTATTTATTATTTCCTGATGCCATTTAATTGCCTAAAAAAAATAAAACATAAATACAACTTACATAGGCGCATGTATCTCTCAGATACATAATATATTCTTATCATTATATTTTATCATATAGAATAAAAATATATTACAAGCATATTTATACATTAGCAGCAAATATTCAAACGCCGTTAATCAACTAAAAAAATATGAATTAAAAAAAAATAATTACATAAACTGTCTTATGAAATTGTCAGATATAAAATATCAATATCTCAAAACGGCTGATCACTTGGAAATCAGATGACATTCTGTTAGATAAAACCACTGGAGCCAGGAAGGTAGGTAGGTAGGTCTTGCTCTTTAAACGTGGTAGTACAAACGAAAAGAAAATTACGATGTATCTGAGGGATACATGCGACTGGTTAAGGGATGAGTTTTCGTACGAAAGGTCCTAGGTCCAAATTCGGGTAGAATTTTTTTCTAGTTTATATTATAATTTAGTACCATCCAGAAATAATCTTTGTGTTAGGTAATTATTTTTAAAATAGTAATTTTATGTTAATAAACTCTAAATTACGTTTTAAGAGGTTGCAGATTTTCTTTAGTGATTCGTAGAAATATACTATACAACACTATACAATTCGAGTGATTTGTTTGTATCGCACTGAATACTTATTTGTAGATCGTATGTTTTAAAAATAACACGAAACGGAACACACCGTAACAAAGTCAGTCTTCACAAAACTTTCCAATAAAAAATTACCCATGTATAAAAAAAATGTAGTATTCTCTAGTTAATCCCTTTATTATTTATTAGTGTATTTGAAATTGTAGGTGTTCGTTTTTTGAACTATTTACCCTTAATTCTGAAATAATATTTTCATTATTTTTAAAATTTCCTGTCAATCATACCTATTTCTATTTATACAAAAAATGCAAACATAATGTCGGAAATTTAATACAACTTGGCATCGATGGTTTATATCCATTCTACGCTTTGATCTGACTTTCGTTAGCGGAAACCGGTAGAATTGAGAGAAAATAGTTTTGAGAATTAAACAGTAATTGAACGAGGTTGGTTTCCAAGATATGTAACGGTTTTCAGTTGTGATTTTGTGTCTTTTCAACTCCCATCTTAATAACATTAAATGAAATCAAGTTTTCGGGCAATCGTAGTAGGTGTATCTGTCCTTACAGATTTTGTTACAAAAAACAATATTTTAATGAAGACTTTTTGATAAAATAACATTTGCTTTATGGCTAATAACTAAACCTAAAACGCCCATATCTGTTCAATATTTTAAAAAATAAGTACAGCAGTTCGTCAACCTATTGTCTACAGGGTGATTCATATAGTTATTCGTAAAAAAATTACAAAAAATTCACATCTAAAAATCTAGTCAACATTTTAGGCAAAATGTCAATGAAAGCCTCAACCAAACAATGTATTTTGCATAATTAATTTTAAGGACAAATTCAGCATATCTGTAGACTCTAGTTATTTGAAATATACCGACTTAACATGGGTGTCCCTCAGGGTTCTTTAGTTGAACCGTAATAATTTTTACTTTTCATTAATGACTAACTATACCATATAAATGCAAATATAATAACTTTGTTTGCTGACGACACGTCACTAACGGTCTTAGTCTTAGTCTTAGTACAGAACTTACAATACCAAACTGTTATTAGATATCAAATTATTATCGTTGATTTTTGTCTAGTAGAGTCCCATTTTTTTTTGTTTGTTTGTTATTTATTTTAACCAAGAAGTAGTCTTAATACAGAAATATTAATATTATATTTAATATTTTAACAAATTTCTATTATTTTCAGGCGATATCGCATGATGAACAAAATCGAATCAAAGAAAATATAAATGGTACAAATTCTGAATGGAATACTACAAAACCAGTATGGAATGTAACAAAAGATCCATAATTGATTGCTACAGAATACTGGAATACAGTTATTCCAATAGATAATATTACTAGTTCTAATTGGAACCCTACTACACAAAGCTGGAATATAACAAACCTTCCACAAAATACTACATCCGACTGGAATAAAACAAATCCAAATATGAACACCACCATTCCAGAACGAAATATTACTAGTTCTAATTAAAACAGCACTACACTAAATTGGAACCTTATAGTTATTTTACCAGTCAATAATACAACAATTGCGGAAATAACCAATACTAATTCATATTGGAACACTACTGCTTCAAGTTGGGACGTAGAATCATCTCTTTCGGTTAATACTTCTATTCTAAACGAGAACACTGCCATAATTAACAAAAATATATTACTTTTTTCTAATCACACAACATATTTAAGATTAAATTTAAATAATATTAAACGTATATTGAATTCCAGTCCTCTTATATGGAATAACACTATGGAAAGTTTGCACTCAACAACATTTTCTCCGTGGAATCAGACGGAAAATTTGAATATGCCGAGGTTAACTGAAACTACTAACACTAGTTGGAATGCAAAAACTCCAACGATGAACACCACTGATTATTTATGGAATACCACGGATTCAGAAAGGAATAATACTACTCCAAGCTGGAATATACCACTAACTATTAAATACCAGAATAAAGTCGAATATAACTGTTAAAAGAATACTGCACCTTCTTCAAATACGACTTTTGACTGGAACTATATTATTAAACTATAATAAGAAAAGACCGCATACTATTAAAATTCTGTAGATTATTGGTTTCTGTCACTTTATCTATCTGAGTTACTAATACATCAAGCTGGTCAAGAGTACTTACTATTGGAACATAAATCCAGGATTGAAAATCTAGGACAAAAATCAAGAATTGTAAGATTTGGAGCTTATTATACCACTTTTATGGTGCAACACTCATTGGTTAGATATCTTAGACCGATCACCTGGCGTTCTTTCATCCAATAAATGACCTTAGACTTCGCAGCTATATTGCAAAATCGCACCCTTAGCCACCAGCTATCTAAGTTTGTAGCTAGATCCTTGTGTATTTAAAAAATTATTGGAACTGATATGTTTTAAATATTTTTTTTTATGAAATAAAAGGTTTTTGTTAAAAATTTGAATATTTTAATTAGGTTTAACCAGGTTCAATGTTGGATCCAAAAGATTGCATACTTGATTTTGCCTTAAAAATCGGTAAATTTATGATTAAAATTTTGTATTTAATTATATACCATTCTATATGTCACTATGTATTGTAATAACAGTCAAAAAAATTTTTTTTTGAGTTACACTTAATAACCAATTTATAAAACATTTGGAATATTTTGCAACAGTAAATACAGTTAAAATTTATTTTATTTGTTTAATTAAATGTAGAAACATTATAATATTTTTAAGGAATTTTATTTATTCTGAATCAGCAATTGATTTAACTTAGTCTAGTCATAAAACATGTTTATTTACAATATTATTAACTGTTATTATTAAAATGTATAATAATTAATTAATCATTATTGGATGTAAATTTTATCGTTTTCAATCGTAATTTACTTTTTACTATAACAGTCAAATTACGGTGTTCCTCTATTAGATCCATTAATATTACTTTAAGAATGTTTAAGAATGTCCTCAGTAAATGTTGTTCTTTTGTCCCGAAGCCAGCTTTTTATATCTGCTTTTCTACTGGTCATGATTGGAATGT